ATACCGCTAGTTGTCCTGATGTATACATTAACAAACAGGCAAAGCAGAGGCCAACAATGTGCCATCTCCAGCGATGCTGTCAGGTGATTTATCTCAGGTCAGGCTGGGAGCTTGTAACAGATGCCTCTAAACGTCTCCAGTGTCTATTAACCAGCTTTGAGTGACTGCCAAAATAAATCACACTTCAAATTTGCTAAAGCTAATTAGCAGCTCCGCTTCATGAGTCACATGCAGAGGCATCAAAACTGAACACTGGCAGTCGTCGCGCTGCAGAAACACGCTGTCCTCGGGCTCTTTAAAACTGTTGTAAATGTTTAGAAATCATGAATTTTAATGTGAAAACTTGATTGCATCAGCAGATCCCCGCCCTCTTAATGAGCACAGCGCCGTCTCTGGTTGCATAGCGCTTTTATATGAGTGACAAGGAAGGCTTTATTTGACACCACGTAACGTCACTGTGATAAACACCCACACAAGTTTGGATGTAACTTCACAGCATCTGAAAAATCAAACATCACCCTCCATCCGTCCATCCTCTAGTCCTCTGGCAGGATCAAAGGCAGCAGCTGAATCTAATAATCCAAAATGAAACATCTTATGATCTGATAATGTCTGGAAGAAAAAGAGAAACCCAACAGAATCTTCGCTCTGCTTTGCTCCCTTCACCGCTGCTTCTGTCTTATTTGTCTTTTAGAAAGCATCTGGTCCGGCATCACTCCTCTGATACTGTATATCCAGGAAAAGACGGTTTGAATGAAAAATACAGGCTTTAATAAAGCTGTGTTTGCTTTAAAAGTCTCTCTTTTTTCTTTTCTCTTACAGTCATCACCGGTGCACAAAACTACTGTGAGTCTACAAAGAGAGAAAAGAATCTTTCCTGGGATTTGGCTGACATGAAGGAGGGCCGCTTCGTGCTGCTGCAGGCCTCGGTGATTATTCGCACGACTCAAAGCAGACACCTATCATCCCTAAAACATATTTTTGTCTCTGCTTCACGAGACCTTTAATTCACTATTTATTAGCCCGGCTCATTAGCTGGCTCACTCGCTCTGACCTTTGCGGCGGAGCGGCATTGTTCTGCTTTCTTTCTCCCCCGCTGAGACTTCTTCATACCGTCATAACAAATTAACATCACTCAGACCAGGTGGTGCCTGCTCCGGCGTGATGCACATGTATATGCATTTTCCTCTCCTCCCTACATGTTCTCGCTGCGCGTACGAGAGCGTATGTGCGGGAGGGCAATGTGACTTCTGTATGCAGCCCAGCAGCACAAGGTTAATCCAGTGACTGTTTGCAAAGTCCACATGGAGCGGGAGGAAGCCGACAGTATGCAGAGACACGCAGACCGGGTGTCAAAGCCTGTCCCGCTCCTCCGATGTATAATGGAAGACAATAAAAGTTCAGCGAGAGAGGAGGAAACGCAAAGAGGTGGGCCGGAGGAGGTGAAGCGGCTAAATGGGCGCCAGGAGGCCGACGGCGAAGCGCGGGGTTCGACTGGTGGAGCGCGCACAGCGACGACAACACATCTCCACAAATTGTCTTCAGTCGGCGCTCCTGGCGTTAAGTCAGAGCGGCGGATCTTCAACTGTTCAGTCATTCACAACAATCTGAGACGTCACAGGCTGAGAGCGGGAGGCGGCGAGCAAAAGAATCGATGTTGGAGAAGGAGCGGGGAATAACGGCGAGCTAACGGCGTCTTTTGTCATCGACAGCGATGCCCTCTAATTTGAAGGAACATCGATCATTGGGAGAAGCTTTATAGAGATTTGGTGAAGACAGACACAGTCGCTTTGTCAGAGCTGCACCCGGCGTTATTCATCTAAACAATCAATTTCACTTTTCCTTTTCTCTGACCCTCCCTCACTCTTTTCTCTCACTCTGTTTTTATGAGCCCATTGAGGAATTACTCATCCATAACCAATACAGGCTCTAATGATGTCTGCGAGCCATCTCCCCCTCTCCCTCTCCCTCCCTGTCTCTCTCTCTCTCTCACACTGTCTTCTGCGATGTTTTAGTTTGTAGAAGCCAAAGTTCTGTCAGACAGATTTTAATAAATTGGCCCCTTCTGGATGTCAGTGTTACACATCTTCAGATGGCGCTTAATCTCGGTATAACATTCGAGTTAGCGAGACAGCGGGTACAATCAGAGTACAACCAGATACTGAGAAATGACAGAGGCTTGCCTTTTTTTTTTTATTTCTTTCTTCTTTTTTTTTCTTCTCTCTCTCTCTTCGCGATATGCCTCAAATGAAGTAATCCTGTTTTGGAAATTGCCAACTTATCCCAGAGGAAGCGAAAGTAGCGCTCGAGAGTCTGGTTTGAATTTAAAAGTTTGACAGATTCAAGAGGCTCTTAAGGAAAGGAAAATTCAATTTAGCTAAGTTGAGTGTACTGTGTGAAAATTCGAGCAACAGATCAAGGAAAGAGAACGGGGCTGGCCTGGTGACAAAAAGCAAGGCGAGTATAGAAAGATGCTGATCAAGCCCGCTGAATTCATTTGACTCACTGAGTGCAGTACGTGTAAATCTTTAGTTCCTTCCTCTGCTGCGTGGACAGGACCCAAATGTACCACCTGCAAAATGATGCTTCAAGAGATAGAAAAGTACAACAAGAAAAAAAAAAAAAAGAGGAAGGATTGCTGGTACAAAATGACCCTAAAGGAGTTTGAAAAGTTCCCCAAAAGAACTACAAACTAGACCAGAAAGAGGCACAAAGTGACCGTGTGGAGATGCAAAACGACCACAAAGAAACTGGAAAAGGCTACAAAGACACGTTAAAACGAAATCAGCCAATCTGTTTTCTCTCAGAGGCTTTTGGGGTTTTTTCCACAGCCGCCTTTTAAGCGACACAGGTGGCCAAATAAACCATAATCCGACTGGTGATAAGGGCGAATGCCTGAAGTCTTTGGTTACAACAGGTATTGGCTCGAGTGCTGCTTAGTTTGTGGGTGGTTACCGGCGGCTGCTCCGCTCAAAGTGAGGCTTTAAACGTCGGGGAGATTAGATGCACTGGGGTGAGTGAGAGGGAGCACTTTGTGAAAGATTTATGAGGCCGTTATACAAACTTCTTCGCCGACGATGGACGTCCAGCAACGTTTGGCCAATCTGCAGCTGCACAGAGAGGTGGAGGTCTCTGATTCTGAGAAGCTCTAAATGTTTTATCACATTTTAATCCATCAAGTTCATTTGTGACAGTAAATTTCAGAGTTGAAAAAGCAGCTGGGCTCTGAATTCAGCTGGTTTAAATGGGTTGATTTGGGCTTTCAACAACCATGATCTGTTCAAATGCAACCACCAAGAACAGTGGATTTTATACGAGGCGCGTATAGATTGAAGTTCCCTACGTCTGATCTTAACCACATTCACGAACAAGAAGAACTCTAAAGGCTTCTGAACCCAAAATTACAGCATTTCGAGGACCAAAATGACTTTGATACCAACTACATCTCTTCTCCCGTGTGTTCTTTTTCTTCTGCCACTATTAGTTTAAGAGCTCGGTTTCAAGTCGCAAACTGCCAAGCATGCTTTGAAATACACGCTTTGATTGGACTGCAAGAAAGAGCTGGGCGATGAGAGCGTTACAACATTGTGCTAATGTCAGAGATAGAGGCGGAATTAGTGTTTTTAGACATCTCGGGCTGCCTGGTCTTCAAAGGTTGTTTGGATGGCATGGAAAGCTTTTAAAGCAATTAGCGGGGCTGAGAGCAAGAAAGACTGCTCATTGAAGAACTTTAAAATCAGGCATCAGGCCAAGGACTCCTGATGATAGAAGAACATCCTCAGCTTTCATGCATGAATGAGTCTTTTCTTAGATTCCATCCAAATGACTCAAACTCATGCGCCGTAGTTTTAATTAACACAACTCTCAGAGGAAACGGATATTATTCTGTGTTTAAAGCTTCCGTCCTCCCAGTCTGGCTCGGCTCCAGGTGAGAGCCGGAGCCTGATTCTCGCTCGCATTGTGCCCCATTTGCATCGATATCAGCACTCCTGAGTAGAGAAAAGGTAGAGCAGCGTCCCGTTTCTCATTACACATTCCCCCCGGGTGGTTTTACTCTGCAACAAACGCTGCTGATGCATCTGCCACCGACCGCTCATGGACCCCAATGTGTCCCGGCAGCCCCGCAGACCTGCACCCGCAGCCAAACGAACGGCGAGGAGGCTTCTTTCTGCCACTCAACTGTATGGTAACAAGCATTAAGCAGCCATTTAAATGGCAGGTCTGCTTCATACGGCTGCAGCTGACAGTCCTGTGACATGTTTTCAAAGTTCATAATGACATTCGAACAAATGACTAAGCATCTCGCTCGGCACACCCGAATACCCCCCAGAGATCTTGTGCCACCAGAATGCATGCACACGCAGCCTCCCCGAAGTGGCTGGAAGTGATTCAACAGTCTGTCATGCAGCAACAATCCGGAGATAATGACCAGCACAGGCTCTGCACAGCACTGTTTCTGCAGGAGTCATCACCTGGACGAAACCTGCAGCATCAGGACCACAGCAGTGCATCTTATAAGTTAATGACCAACAACACACGTTCCTGACTGTTGTCCTCAGATGAGCAGGGATAAAAAGGATGATCTGCACTTTTACAAACACCTCAGGGATGAGAGGCTGCAGGATGATCACACCCAGTATTCATTTTAAAGAAAGACAATAAGCAGAGACATGCAAATGGCTGAGAATAGATTTTTGTGTGTTCGAATTTGGCGCATAAGCAGCAACCATGGTCTCATCAGTCATCCACACCTGCATTTTCAGTCGTTTCTATCAAAGTTTCATATACACACATACACACTGCACAATCACTCTGAGCCTTTTCCTAATTTTTTCCAACCGATGAAGCTCACCATCATCAAATCGCATCCACAGACACACACGCAAAACGCGCTCCAACACCTCAGATCAAACATACACATACATGAACGCAGTCGCCTATAGATGCAACAGAAAGAAAAAAAAACACAATCAGTCCGCAGATTCCGCATTTCTACTCACCAAACAGGGAGTTGGCGAAGCCGTACCACACGCATCCTCCTTCCCCTATGAGCCACCTTCCCTGCGTGCTGGCCGCGAAGCTGAACGGAGTCCCCAGTACGCACACCAGCAGGTCGCTGATGGAAATGTTCATCAGGAGCAGGTTGATGGGAGACCGCAGCATCTTGTAGCGGCAGAAGAGCAGCAGCACCAGCAGGTTGTTCATAAGTCCGAAAGTGCCGATGAAGCCCAGGCACACGGCCACCACCAGGTTCCCCGTCGGGGTGAGGGTGGTCCGGTATGATCCGCCCCCCAGGTGCCCTTCCCCGGCTCCGGCGCACACAGCGCTGTTGACCTCCGCGCAGCCGCTCAGGCTCACGTTGGACACGATCATTTCAGTCCGGTGTCACTGCGGTGGCACCCCGGGCGGCCACGGCGGCTTAATATGTGGCCATGACTGCTCTTTTTTTTTTTTTTTT